CAGAAGTTGAACATTTCCTTAACACCCACAAGTTAAGCGTTACGAGAAACCAATCAGACACAGTTCGTCTACAGATGTAAGGGCGAAGTGAACCGTTGCAGAGGGAAAGTTCACCAGTTTAACTATCTCAGCTGCATCGTCCCAAGTGATGGCACTATCCAGCCAACTATAAATAGGTCGATCGTCTGGGCCTCAAGCGCTTATGGAAACCTGCTCAATATTTTGGTCAAGGAAAGTGTTAAACTTTTCCCGTGAATATCCACCTAGCATTTGTGAGGCCAGTGTTGCTGTATGACTTGACGAGAATTGGTCTAATGAGAAGGTGCTAGAATGTAGGTTGAACTGCATACAGCAGCGTGACCTCGACGTAGGATGAAGGTTAAATAGCAGGACCACAGATAGAATGACTCTATCCACTTCCGGTCACAACTAACTTGAACAATAATTCTGGAGATTCAAGACGTTCCCCTTTCAGACAAACTGGTGCAGCATAAACTATTTACTCCAGTCCGTGAGTTTCTCCTGCGGAAGCTGAAATTGCGCAAATGTCAACCAGGTAGTTAGCTTGAAGAAACAAGGTAGAGGCGTGCCTGATTTTGGAGAGGAATGTGATGCAGTAACCGATGCTTTATAGCAAATATGTTGAAACTGCAGACATCACAAATCAGAGAAGTTCTGCTTATGTGAACGGCTCAAGGCGACGACCTCAACAAACCGGAAGGAAACCTTGCTTCTAGCCACCTAGGAAACTATTTTAGCAAACAGTGGCTCCATGGCAGCTGTGCATCTGCAACGCATGAATAGAAAGCTGCATTACAGTGTTGGCAAAAACAATATCTTGACAAACACAACTCTTTGAATTTACACACCGTCAGTACACCACTGATTGAAAGCTCACATGACATCTTACGTTTCTTAAAATAATTTGAATCATAATGGCATTAAACTAATCAGTGCCGTGATGGTGAATCCAATCATATCATCCAGATTTACCCGTTAAAATTCTTCTACCTCTAAACAGCCGTCTTCAGAAGTCAAGTTTCGCTTGCTAGTACGCGTCTCCACATAAATCTAGGTCTTCGTGGCCGTTTAAGCTCCAATATGCTTTGTCCTCGGTACCCTATAATACGGTCCCTCATCCTGACCATAGCCAAGCTGCTGAATCGTGAGCCTGGAAATGGCCTCCCTACAGCCGTACTAACCAGTCTGATTGTACCAAACAAGCTGTAAATCTCCGGCGACCTACCTGAATGATGGCAGTGTGCTGTGGCGAAGATCGCAGGAATGCCATGAATGCTAGCCTCGCATTCAACTTCGACTGAAAGCATGACGTGGCTGCGTTTGCATGTGAAATTCGTCGACGACACGTTTTTCATAGACAGTGTCTGAACAGCGCTTGAAGTCAATCATTGGCGCTTTCAGCTCTTCATGTTTATGCATGCAGTCGGTAAACATCTTTCCGAGAAGCTCTGCACTTTGAAAATTTTACCCGTCATGAAACTATATGAATAAAACATCGATTTTGCCTTGATGAGAATATGAACACAGAAGGTTTATGATTAGTTCGTCCATTAACAGTTAAATCCTCCTCAGAATTCTATTCTTCTGCGAATTGAATTACTCCACTTATGAGTCGTTTTCTGCAAAAAATAATATGTTCAATTATGACATAAAATATATATAATGGTATAACGATACCGGATTGAAACGGCGGAAATGTACAGTGTCGAGAAAGAAAAATATATTTCAATTTACACCAATTGCATTATTGCACCGCCTTCTTGGTTCTAGCCGCCTAGGGGGCCACTAAATCTCATGTACTGCAAAGGCTGCATGACCGCATCCCTTACTTGGGTGAAACACGAGCATGTTCTAGCCGAAAAGCATTTTCCAAGTGCAGTAGACAAATACAATCAAGATAAAACAACCCCTATGTTCCGGGTTGGCTTTCGATACCGCCGTTAAGTATATGACATTAAAAATAAAGATATCGGATTGAAAGAGGGGAAATGCACAGGCGGAAAGGAAAAAAATTTTCGCCCTTTCAATCCGGTATGATTATTTTCAATGTCACGTTTTTAACAGCGGTATCGAAAGCAACCCAAGAACATCATTGCACTATTAAATTCGAGCTGGGGTGCGAAAGTTCGTCGTCCAGGATTCTCCTTCGGTAACCGTTCCTTCGAAGTGGTTGGCACGGATGTTGAAAATCAGCATTTAGGCTTGAGGTTATTGTAGAATATTACTGTAGAGGACTTTTGGGTTCGTAGGCGCATGTTCAGCACAATACCTCAGAAATACAGGAGGAACACATGACCGCGGGGTTGAGGTATCGAATGGAGTAGGTTGGTTTCTAATATAGGAAACGTCGAATTCAGTCCCTGGTGTACTTTACCAGTACATCCAGGAACGATATAGAGTAGTTAACCTCTGCTTAAGTGGTAAAACGTATTCGGCCGTTGCTCTCTCGTCCGTTCATGTATTTCTCGAAGCATTCCGACCTCTTCTGTACGTCCTTGTTTCGTAGCAATGATAGAAAAATGTCAACAACGAATCAGAAAATACCGTTATTCTAGCGAGCTTTCGTCAAGGGCTTTCACTTCCAGGTGGCTCATGTAAAGGACAGCTAAGGTCACACTAACTGGGTAGCCCATCGGAATGCCGTACGTGGGCTTAAATGCTATTTACCTATTGAAGCTGGTGTCACCACCTTTCATCAGAGAATGTTTCCGAACACTCAGTTAATTGTTGGTGCGTCGGTGCTCCTACCGAAAACTAAAAAATACATTCAAATGGTTTATTCAAATATACATAACGCAAACGAATAAGTCAGTTAATCGGGTGGTTGACCAATACTGACTTGTCGGGGCCTCTCTCATGAGCCTTCTTCAGGGTGGTCTAGGTTGGTTTCCGAAGTTGGGTGTATGGGCCGCAGCTGCTGTAGCGTCTGAAGCCTGAATTCGAAAGTACGCGTTTGACCAATGCTGCTGGTTAAGTAGTTTTGAGTCACAAGTTATACATATACATATAAACCGTTTTTGTGCACCTTTCAGCAAAGAATGTTGAATTTTATACAAGATGCATTTCTGATCAGGACGACATTGGAGGATAACGCTAGAAAATATATATAGAAAATAGCATTCCACGTAAGCTCGATGGTCTAGACCTTTGACATTTAACCCACGTTCCTAAACAACTTCGGAAAAATTGCATTTGTTAAGGGCATTAGCAGATAAGACGACGTAGCGCTTTGCAGGACTTAGACAGTTAAGTAAAACTTATTTGCCAACTCATGCACTGTACAAAAGTATTATGCTACATTCTGACAAGGACAGGAAGAAATGTTCGTAACCACTGGAATGTCGATCTTTCTTACACCTTCATGATGAGACATGTCGACAAGTGCCTTAGTAAATGCCAACAATATATCGGTCATTTTCTCACAGAACGGTGCTCATTTATCAGCATCCGACAGAAGGAAGGCGAGTGATCCGACCGAGGGTCGAACCTTGGACTTGTCGGTTCAGAGTCCGACGTTCAACTAAGCGAGCTACAATGGTCAACATGGACAAAGCCTCCAATAGTCACACTGCCAAAGCTAAAAACGTACAATTAACTGGAAACGTGGGTTTTCCTCGCCGTTCTGGAAATGAGATCACCTTCAGTACAACCAGTCTTAAATTTCAGTTAATTCTATGAATAGACATAATGGATGGTTCGAAGATTTTACTATCAAAAAACATTCTACGTTATCATCTAGGTCACGTGAGTCGTCGAACGAGTCTGTTACGGTTTTATCAATGCTCATTCATTCACTAACATCATTTTAAACCAAACCGAAAGGCAAACTTTTCGATGGCGATCTCAATACCAAACCTATCAACTTTTAACGACAAGGTAATGCGGGTCGAGAAACAAAGTTAAAAAGACCGTTTGTCAACGAATTCACTGTCGATCTTCTTAAGACTTCACGATGGTGTAATTTCTGCCACTATTTTTTCACATAGGATTAATGGCGATACGCGGAACACCATTCCCGTGCCATAAATATGGACAGCCTCATTTTCAATGAGCCGAGAGCATTCATGTGACATACTTGTTTAGTCTGCTGTTTCCTTCCCACAGCGGGGTACTCATTTGTGAACCTTGGAGAAAAAGGTGAGCGATCAGACCAAAGCTGGAAACCTCGACCTCTCGGTTCTGAGTACGACGCTCTACTGACTGTGCAACCACGATTCGAAGAGCAACCTAACGCGCATTTGGTCTACGAAATATCATTTGGGTAATATCAGACCGATCATCTAGCACAACGTTGCCACTGGTCATCAAACCGCCATTCTGTGAACAGCAGCGCTTGTTGAGACAAGGTGCCATTACTCACAATTACCACAGTCAATCGTTGAATAATTGTCTGAAAATTATTTATTTTTTATTTATTTATTGTACTTAATAATAAACTTGGCAGAAAACGAACAATTACAATAGGAACAAATTAGCTAGGTCCTGCATTGTGAACGGCATGTCATGATCTTGATCAGAATCTTGCAACTCGCACCGGTTCAACGACGAACTTATCTTTTCTTCGATGCTACCGCGCAAGATGAGGTGGTGCACGTACGTCCGATCGGTCTGTCCAATGCGGTGAACTCGGCCGGCCGCCTGCTGCTGCACATGCGGATCGAAAACCGGCTCAATGAAGATCACGTGTTTAGCCTCCGTAATATTCAATCCGTTCGCTCCGATGCTGGTCGGCATTAGAAGGACAGAAAAATGGCAATCTGCCTAAATATCAAAGCGTTAATTCTTACAAGAAGCTTGAACAGACGTACACACAAATCATGAAGTGCTTATACTTCATGCAAGTCTAAATGTCGTCAACGTACATCAGCAACCGAAATCTGTCTGAGTAACAACGTCAACGACAACACAATCATAAACCATACAAATATCGTCTCTAAAAAGTCGGAGACAGCTTTCATATTATTTTGTTTCCGTCAACATTAGCGATATTGGGCTACTCAAACTGCAGAATTAAAATATCATATTATGCAAAATATTAAAATATCATCGATGGACTCTGAACTAATGCAGATTTCCTCAGAAAAAAACAACTGTTTAACTCCTTAAAAAGCTTGCATATTTTATACCTCAACAATCTTGAAGCATCAACGATATTCATCGAATTCTGCGTAAATTTTATTGCAGACTGCGGAAAACTGAATCATCATTTGCCATCTATGCAATGCAATTTTACGCGCTTTCTTCAGAGGTGATTAATTACCCACAGTCATAAAGTAGACTACGTATCAGCTGGTAGTAATAGTGTAAGTCTGAACAAGGTGAAATAAAATAAGGCCCTACGAAATGGACCAAAACGATGATTAACATTTGAATATCTGGGTAATGGTGTAGTATATATGAAAATTATGTAATTTGTAAGTAAAGTGTCAAAACCCCATGCATCTTGTAGTGTTTTTGTAAAAATCTCACGACTTCATTGAAAAACGATCAGTTAGTTATTGTATTAATAATTACTCTGTATTAATAATTACACACTGAAATCAAATCGACTTGTACATTCTCCGAATGAAACTAATAAAAATAAATTTTAATGTTACTGTAGTACCGCATATGTTGCGATATTTTATTTTAATGATTACTTTATACCTGTTAAGTGCATATTTGATAACGGTGACAATGTTGATATTTGTACTGCTTATTCTATTACAAAATTGAATCTTGCGTCTAATTTAAAAAATAACAATTGAAATTAAATTCTGCATCATCCACATTTAAACGTAATTCATATTTATAGGCAACAGTTCGACTTTTGCAAGCTGCGAATTAACCGGTTGACATTCCTCCTCCCTCCGTAACACAGACAAATGGTTTTATTATACAGAACACAGCATGGGGGTCAAACGGTTGGTAGGCCGATACTAGGCTTCGGCCTGTACCTGAAGGGGAATTTTTACAGGTAATAGACACAATAGCTTTCGGCTGCCATGGAAGTCCCTTGACTTTGAAGCAAATAATTCCTTTGGTGCAGAAAAGAGAACTTTGGTCCGTACCACTGGTTAAGCATTTTACCGACAACAGATGGGACGATTCTCATTCAATCTATGACTGAAAACCATTACAGACACCTCCGTGACGCGCATGTCCTCATTTACTGAGACGTTGGTAAATTCTGATCACTGGATGGCGTATGTTTCTTGTGTCAATGCTGTTGGTACTCTAACAGGTACTGGTTTAATCAAAAACAATTATGCTATTCATTCATGCATCTATGTGATACGCTACAGTAAGATACTTTATGATACGACTGAGCTGTAGCTCGTTTAGAGGGTTGCCTTAGTGACTTGAACAGAACGCTGCGAATATGCCGTAAGAATGCAGAAAATCGCCTCGTATATGTTACCTTAGCGGTAGGATGACAATGATCGGTCAACCATATCCATTCGACAAACCCTCATACTGTGTCGTGGATATTACATTGTATTTGAGCAGTTTTTACAGTATACCTACAAGCGCAAGAACAAACTGCCACAGTCTTTGGCTCAGAATCAACAGCTGTACAATTTTTCGCTTTTCATACCTCATTCCAATGAAAAATTTTAAGGAGAGAGACAAAAAATTTAAATAAAAAATAAATAAAATGCATATCTTGAGATAACTGTCGCTCAGTCCCATTCAGTTGTACGTACCTTGAACTTTGGCAGAACAGTTCTGAGATGCGTTCGGTTTTCGACCATAAAAAATGGAATGTTGTTCTCGACCAAAGCAAACGAGGCGATCTGCAAGATGTCCTTCCACGTACTGAACACTAAACACTTGGTGGTACTGTCAACGGCTTTGATGTAAGCCAACAGTCTGACGACAGCCATGATTTTCGAGCTAAAGTCACCGAACAAGCGCAGGTTTCGTGACAAGTTCGGGTCGATATGAAACGGGCTGGTCACATCGGAGGACGTGGACGTCACCGAGTCCAGCAACTCACTACCGCGGCTGCTGCACACGTACGTCATGTACTTACGGCTAGTGTTGCTGCGACACACCGGACACCTGAACCACAGGCCGTGTTCACCACACACTTGCATAGACAGCATCAAGCTGGTGACACAATCGCAACAAAACGAATGTCCACACGGCAGGATCACCCATTTCTTGCCCAACCGACGTTGACAAATCGGACAGTCGTCCGGGTTGCCGGCTTTCGCATCAATGTCAATGTTCCGTAAGCTGGTGATGTACTTCAGACGACCCTGCTTCTGCCGCAACAACGCCTCACATGCCTGGTGCTGAAGAGAAAACATTTCCAACGTCGAGTCGAGATTTTCGGCAAAAACCAGGGAGCACATGTCTTTTTCGTTCTTAACCGTATCTTTATCTGCTATGCGCATTCGTTCAATTGCCATTCTTAATTCATCCCTATAAATACAATTAACGATAATTAATGAAAAAACTATGAACAAAGAAATCATACTCACAGTGGTCATGATTTCATCACGATACGGACTGTCACGTCTACAAAGCGTCTAACTCACAATTATGCGGTTCCGCGTTCGAGCCCTGATTTAGTTATTCACCTTTCGTTCTTTTGAGGTGGTTGATAAATGGGTGATATTTCATTAGAAGGAAACAGAATTATGTTGGCCAGAGCACTTTTGTCCACTCTAGCCTTAAAATAGAACACTCTTAACCGCTGGGTTGCAAATACAGATAAGCTTCCCAACCATGAAGGTACCATGAAGGTGAAGACCGACATTCCCACGGTTGCAAACTTTTCTCCTTTCCTTCATCGAAATAGCTCTGAGAGCCTTAGACAATTAGCGACAAAAAAATTTTATGTTTTAATATGCTATTAGCAACCATATACCTACAGTGAATAAATAATTTTAAAACTTTAAATTTCTGTGACAAAGCTATCAGTGACACAAACTTTACCTTAGGTTCTCGCCCTCCTGTGTTGCATCCAATTCGACGACATTTTTTCAACAGTTCATCGATTATTGCATGCAAAAAAATAAGTTGCTACTCAGTTACTTTAAATATCATATATCCAGTGACATGCGCAAAACAGGTAATCTGGATGAACGACCGGAACTATCATAACAAACTATAATCCATAACAGACACTGTTGGATACTAACGGAAAGAGTGCCATCAGAGTACCAATGATACGAGATTGGGTGGAATGATTAACTGTGTGGAATGTAACCGGGTTCGCGATAAACTTCAGAACACGGCACATCGAGATACCTCATATCGCACGTGACCCCCTACTTCTCCAAGTCGAATAATCACAACTGCGATGGTTTGAATGTATGATCAACATAAAAAGGTAGGATTCGCAAGCCGCACTCCGTCGGCACAGTCACATAGAAGTTGGTCAAAGGCAAGAACAAATGTCAGAGGAATGAACCTTGATGAGCATTTGCCATTGTAATGCGTTGGAAG